CCTTTATGTCAATAACAAAGGCACACAGACAGGCAAAAATCCAGAGTGCAAAAACCATGTTGAAGCATGGCCTGAACCATGATTGATTTGACAGGACAACAATGAGCAACGGACCTATGCAAAAATGCAAAAAAATAGCAAGGAACAAAACATCGACCTGCAAACAAGTGCAAATGGTTGTCAATTTCGTATGTGAACGCCTCGGGATACATGGCCACTAATGAAGGCAAATAATATGAATACTTCTGGAGAGCGTGCATTCCGCTTTTGCCTTCAGAAATATTATTTTCCAGCCATTTGTCAACATTTGTCAAATTTGACAGCACACGCCCTCTAGCTGTTGCCCCTTTGGCGGTGTTTGCAAGCGCCCCTGGCCATCATTTCCTCATTTATTCATCCATCCATCTATCCATCCATCCATCCAGCCATCCATCTATCCATCTACCCACCCCAGCAACATTGACAGCTCGAGGGGCGCCTTTTTCGCCTGGGCGGACAAAGCCTTGTGCGCCCCTTTTTCGCGAAATTAATACCATGTACAAACAAAAACAACTGAGACAAAGCACTTACAGCGCCCGGAAAGCAAGCGACCAAAAAGAGGCATACTTTTGGAGTGGACAACGAGGTGTTAAGGGTTAAAAGGGGTTAACCAGCTCTCTGCGGCAAGTAAGCAAGTTTAACCCATTGCAACAAATCGTAACTGATTCCGTAATTTGTTTTAGGAACTATCTATACTCGAGTAGTATCTAGTACTAATTACTTTTTAGTGTATAATATAATAAAATATATAATATAATATAATAATATAAATTAAGCAAGCTTAACCCATTGTAACAGATCGTAACTGATTCCGTAATTTGTTTTAAGAACTATCTATACTCGAGCAGAACCTAGTACAAATTACTTTTTAGTGTATAGAATAAAATAATATATATAGTCTTTACATATATAATAGAATATATAATATAATATAATAATATAAATTAAGTAAGCTTAACCCATTGCAACAAATCGAAACTGATTCCGTAATTTGTTTTAAGAACTATCCATACTCGAGTAGTACCTATGATAAGTACCTAGTATAATATGATAAAATGAAATACTTATAAAAATGATTAGCTTAGCAAAATATGAGGCATTATTTGGATTGTTTTTGGTAACCCAAGACTCGCAACGAGAGTACTGCCCAAAACTATCAACACCTTCGCTATAATGACAGGATCTGACAGAGTTTGACAGGAGGTGTGTCCTTGGTTATTTTATCGAACCGATAATACGGCCAACCTACCGTCTCGATATGGTTACAAAAGCCACACATCGGCATCGGATTTCGAGCAGATTTCAATTCGATTCCATTCGACTTGGCCTGAAGACAGCAGTTCGAGGGTGTGCCCAACACCCACACCCACACCCACGCCCACAGCCACCCCATTTTGACATACACCATATACACACATCCTCCATAATTCCCAGACCCCGGGGATTGGCAGAAGGGGTGTGTCGGAGGGGTGGGTTTTTGCGGCGGTCGTGAATAAAGCGATTTGTCTTCCTTGTTGTTTACGTTTGGCGTTATAAATTCTCGTTCTGGGGACTTTTGGGCGTGCTACGTTCAACGTGCAACGCGCAACGCGCAACGTGCTACGTGCTACGGTCGCAGAGCGTATATGAAATTGCCTAAAAATTATTTGCGCATAACAGGGGATAATCATAAATCTGGCTAATTGCACTTTATTGGGGTCGCTCTTCCCGGCTGTCACATGACCATAGAAGGCCCACTAACTGGTGTCTGGTGGTGGCTGGCCTGCTCTGCGCTGAGCTGAGCTGGCCTGAGCTGAACTGACATCGTTGTCTCGGCTTTTAGGGGTAAAATTGAATTTGACATGCCGCTCGGAGGCATTAAATCAGAAAATTCTACGGTGCCCGGATATGGCAACATATAAATTTACGGCTTTCTGGCGACTCGCTGACATTTGATATGGCTGATGGTGTTATGACACTCACTATGCGCCTTTCATTTTTGATTCGTGAAGTATGTACTTTGAGCAGGGTTAGAAATAACTCACAAAGCTTCTGATTCAGTTGGACATAGTAAAACTATTTCAATTGCTGCACTTTTACCTATCCAAAGAGCTCTAAACATTTCTGCTTGGAGTCTCCAATTCCGAAACATTTTCAAGTAAATATATCATTTTTAATTAGAACATTAGTGTTTTAAGTGCTAACCTCCGAGCAATCTGATCTTCAGCAGCATCTTCATTCATATCATGATCATCATGATGATTTACCAGACAATGAATGGGAGAATGTGGTGCTTGCCCCATTAGCATGAGAAACGAGAATCGTATTCGGCACATAATTAGGTGAGTGTGTTCCAAATGAATGTGCAACCGGGGCAAATGAGCAAGATCGTTCTCCGGTTGCAGCCAAGTGGAGAGGCCACGGCCGCTAGAATTTGAATAAAAATGCAGGGAAAATCGGAGAGTTGGCTGGCAAGGAAAGACAGAAGCTGAAACGAGGCAGCAGCGATTTTTTTAATTTTCTTTTTTGTGGGTAGGTAACGTGGCTTTTGATCTTTGCTGCGTTTGTTTGTATACAATTTGATGGCTCGTGTTGATGGATCGTAAACGTGGAATGATGTTCGCACTGTTGCTGCTCCTCTCGATGATGACGATGATCAACGCAACGATGACGGCCCAGTGTGTCTTTGATCATTTGCCGCGCCAGTTGGCAGTCAAAATGTTAATTTATATGTTCGGCCTCCGCCCACAATTGAAAAAGAGGCAAAAAAGGCAAAGCCAGGCAGGCACTAACAACTTTACAAACATGTTTGAGATTTTTATTACTGTGTGAAAATGTTCGATTCTTCCGTGAAATCCGGCTAGGAAGGATCAAACAAATTTATGGGTGGGCGCAGCCAGAAATGGCAGGCCAGATCACTTGGTGCGGGAAAACTTTTCATTGTGATTGATGGATGGCTGCTGGATGCTGAATGCTGGATGCTGGATGCCAACCACACAAAAACAGCAGCGTTCCCAGAGCGATTTTGATTATAGACAAGTTGTCGGCGGATTTGTATTATTGTGGATATCGATCAAACCACTTGACGGCTGATCAAAGACAGCACACACGGCAAACAATTTTTTCGATATCTCTCGCAATTTAATGCGCGTACATTTTATACGATTTCATTAGTGAGAATTTCGCTTTTCATTGCTTGCGATATAAAAGTGTTTACAGCTTTGTACGCTGAGTTATGAAGATCTGTTTTAAATAAAAGCCGATGAGGTTTCAAATGAAAATTATAAACATAAATTATTACATTTTAGAGCAGCTTTTTTCGCAGTCTAGTTTTTTATTACTACAACAAAGTATATAAAGCAGAAACTTAAAGTGGAATCATTAAAGAAAACGTATTATATATTTTCCTATATACATCAAAGTAAACGATATCTGGCAAATAATTGTCTTGAACTATTGTTCAACTGGAAGATAATAACAAATTTATCAAACATTTTGCCCATAACTTGATTACTCCTTACTTGTCAGTAAACAATGTGCAATAAAGCAAAACTTCCGCAGACCAGCAAAGTTAAATCCGCTCGAGGACGAGAACGAGGACAATAACAAGCTGAACTGGTCCGCATGTCTGGCGGTTGTCTTGGTCACATATTCCCCGGCAGAAGAAACATTTGTCTCGCTTAATTTAAACAGATTTGCGAGATTATTGTCATGCCGACGTTGAGGCAGCAGTTTCAATTCGACCGTAGACAACCCGCAGTGCCAGCTGACAGATGAAGATGCCGCATGAGGCGGGCGAATTAAGCGAATCGAGTATCTGCGAATCTGTGAATCCGCTGAATCCGAGAGTCCCTGACTCAAAAAAGAAAAAGGGGTGAAAGTTGCAAACCAGAGCAAAGCGACGGCAATGATGCAAGCGAATGCATGCCAAATCTCCCGACAGCCGCAAGCCGGCAACTTTTAATGTTTTCCTTGCCACAGGCAGCGGCATTTCCGAGTGGGATGTTTGGATTGCAGAACAAATTTGCTGAGAACGCTGTGCAAGTGACAGGCGACAGATCACGGGGGATCTGAAGAATGCTGCCTTTGCTGCATTTGCTGCTGCATGATGACGACTTCTTGATTCCAAGCCATATTTAAAACGCTTTGAAGTTCCACCGCGGCAGCAAGAGGTGTCTGCAACGCGATTTCAACTCATGTCGCGCTTGACACGATCGGAGCAGGCTCTGATCCCAGATGAAGCCTCCCCAGATCCAGTCCGCCAATCTGACGGCCTGACTGATGCTGATCCAGATCCCCAGATACACATGCAGATGCAGTTGCAGATGCAGATGCAGATGCTGAGTGCCTACTTTTAATTGTTAATGAACGGTAACAGCAGGGGCAACTCTATTCGCACACTCAGAAAAAAAACGTTTATACAAACAAATATTAAAGGGGAAATAAGAAATATATACTTGTCACCTCAATCGTGATTCCACACGAACAAGACGTCGTATTCGCTAATTATTTCTTCGAGTGCACGCACTCACTTGACAGCCCGACTGGCTAACTGCCTTGGACAGCTACTACTCGTTTCCGGAAGTTTATCTCCGCTGCAGCAGCTGCCTGAAAGTCATTAGACTCCGTCAGCCTTGTCACTCAGCCACGTTTTGCTAAGGCTTCGAGCCGAGACTCTGAGACTCTGAGACTTGAGACTTGAGACTTGAGACTTTGAGGCTCCCTAACGGAGACAGACATTTGATCTGGCCTGTCAGGCGGATTCATGTCAAGCGGTGTTTGGACAGCATGTTGGTAATGCCGCCCATAATGGCTAAAATGTGAAATGAGACGGGCTCTAACCCTTGGGGAAAAGATCTACTGACGGATCATGACCTAATGGCGAAATGATCTAATTGGGCAAACGAAAGAAAGTTAAATACAGAAAAACAGAAGTAGGAAAAATGAATAAGGTATTCTCTTGTCAGTTTCTACTTGAAAAATATTTCGTTGTAAGCCAACACAAACCTATTACACCTTATATTAGCCAAATGATTAGAGCCTGGCGAGCACTGATCTCCCAGAGTGGACTACACCTAAGACGATGTTCCCTATCAAAGACGGCAATTAGCTTGAAGAAAGAAGATGTCGACGAAATGGAAACACCAGCAAATAGACAGAGGGTTTCGCTGCCACCGCCACCGAATCCCGGGGAAAAACTGAGCAAGCGCTATCTGGAGTTCCGGGAAAAGCTGCGATCGGAGGCGCCGCTGGAATCCCTGCCGGAGTGTGCACCACATCCGGCCCACGAAAAGGAGCCCCTGAAACCGTGGCCCAATAACACCAATCCCTATACCGGAGAAATCGGTGGCCAGGCGGGACCAGAACCCACGCGCTACGGCGACTGGGAGCGCAAGGGACGAGTTACGGATTTCTAAGGCATCACATCTTCACCTCGACACCTTTTTGTTTGGACAATTGTGATTTATTAATCGTGTTACCAGCCACAGAAGCACTCACCATTTGTTACGCTGCCAATGGGCGTGGAAAATAAGAACTATGCCCTACAGTAGCCACAAAATCCAGATGAAGTTGAGCCATATCAAGATACCCAGTGCTTCTGCGAAGGCATTACATAAATTTCTTTGTGGTTTCCATCGAGAGGATTTGTGGATGGCCCTGCTGCCACCAGAATCAAATTGATAGCCCTTTCTTTCGCCTCTCGAACAAGGGGTTCCCAGAATAGAGAGTTGCGACCGAATCTTCTACTCCCATTATTTATGGTTCAGGGGCAGAGAATAGAGAATGGAGAATCGTGCCTAAGCTGAAATTATTTGGAGTGCTGTTTTGGGGGGGGGGGGGGGGGGGGGGGCTTCGGTTGAATCGCTTCGATTCATTTGAAATTAAGGCGACAGTTTACGTGATCTTTAATAGAAAAACTTCTGTGCGTCTTCGGTGTCTGCTTCTAATTTTGTAGCCAGTGTGCGTTTGACGGACACACATAGAAGGGGTTTTTAAATGCCATAAATTTCTTTCTTAAGGCCCTGAAAAACGTTTTTGTGGTTTAGAAAACTTTGTTGGACAATTTCGAAGAAGATTTGCAGCTGTTTTGCCTCGCCGCTTTGCCTGTTGACATTTCTGTGGGCTTCAAGCTGGATTTGTTAATGAACACAAATAGAAATTAGTGAAATGCTTCCCAAAGCTACCACATTTTTCTCAGCTAATTGATTTGATTTGTCTCAATTTTTAAGTGGAAAACGCTTGCATTTCCCAATGACAAATAATGAGTAAGCATCACACCGCTTACTTACACCTTTAATCAAATTCCGACGTCGGCCAAACGCCAAACCAAAGATCAATCACAATCTTACAAATTAAGCACGTAAAACGCTCGAAAGAAAGATAAATTCCGCATAAATTCCAGGAAATCCACAAAATGCTTTTATGTGTATACACAGAATTACACAGCAAGCAGCTGACTCTGTTAATCCACAAAAATCCACATACCAAATCCCAAATCCCCAATCCCAAATCGACAACTTGCCCAATGCCCAACAGGCGCGAGAATCGACGACTTCCTCCGTAGTCATCCATCAAATGCGATTTTCCGACTTTGGGACGGTGAAGGACAGTGTGAAAGCCCCTGCAACGGCAATTATTTCGTCTATTTTATTTTTAAACCAAATTAACGTGTTGCTTGTTTCTTGTTAATGTGTTTTTATTACGTGAAAAGTAAGGAAAACACACGCATTCCATATACCAGCGATGCTCTCAAGATCATTTTATAACCCATACCATACGGAATGGAATGGAACCGATCCGTAGACCGTAAAACCGTGTACTCGTATACCCTTTCTCCGGGTCGCAAAGTAGCAGGCGCTGATTGATAGAACAAAGTGAAAATCAAATAAAAAACAAAACATAAAATCCCCCAACTGAACCACATTGCGGCGCAAGATCAAAGACCGCCCCTCGATCTGTAATGACAGCTTTGATCATTGTTTTGCCTTTGATTTTTTCCGGTTACGTTTCTCTCTCAGCTGGCCTGTACCCCTCTTTATTATTTCGTTTCTTTTTCCCATTTTTTTTCCTTTTTTCCTCCAAGAGATGGCCCAATGCATACGGTCATCAGTCTAGAGATCTCTCGATCACATCGGAAAGTACTTGGAATTGTGGGAACGAGTGGGCAAAGAGGCTGTTTACGATCAGTTTCGCACCCACTTGAGAGATTTCGCTTTGCCGAATCAATTTGCAGCTGGCGAAAACTCGGCACCGACGGCAAATTGGAGCCTATTTGCCGGAACTGGGGAAACTACACGAAATCTCTAGAAAACACTACTTAAATGGTTGCAGTATAAGGCGCAAAATAACTCATATCATTATTGAATTATCCATCATCATTCTACGCTGATTGTCACACCGAACTCCTTTTGATTTGACCCGGAACTCGATGAGTAAGTCATTTAATGAATGTACCTTAATTAATTTGTTAGTAAACACTTTAGTCGCGCCATTTACAATAATAATTACTGAAATAAATTAAACGTGACTCAGCGGTTATATTAAGAGCCTTAAAGTTGAACTGTAGTAAATACAAGCTATGTAATAAATAAAGAAAAGTTATTAAAGTGTTATCAAGTTGTATAAGTGCTGTGTTTTATTAACTGTTGTTGCCATGCATCAAGTCATTGGCAAACCATTTTTAACACGTACACTGAGAAAAACCTTGGACACATACGTGTGCCAAACGAAAAGCAAGCGGGCGAAGGTGCAGAATCGGGAACTATTATGTTATTGTGCGAACGTGCACAGATTTCAGCAGTCGGGCGAGAAACACGGCATTTTTACAACCCAACCAGAGGTCCTTGCCGCCCAGGTCCTTTTACCTCCACAGAGAGGGCGTCTTATCGGAGCGTATAACATATATCATTGACACTTTGACATTGCCAGTTGGGCGAGGTGGTGGCGGAGGTCCAGGGCCATGACCAACAGGATTTTAGTACTTTTCAAAATGGCACTTAATCATGGCAGCCGCCTGGCGCAGGAAAATGCGGAAACTGGGAAACTGGGAAACTGGCAACAACGAGGACACACACCAAGACGTAATCGCATGTGTTCACGCTTGAAAGGATAACGACGACATGGCTGGCAATCCGGGAAGCCGGGAAGCCGGGAATCCGGGAATCGGGTATTGCGACTCCCGCTGACTTCCCGCTGACTTCCCCCGTGCCCCATCCATCCATCCATGCCATATCGACCAGAGCGAAACAAGATTAATGACTTGGCAAAAGGAACTCTCAGTGCGAATGGGTGTATGGTGTGCGTCCTGCTGGCTGCTCCTTTCTGGCATTCGATAAATTGTTTGCTACTTGGACTGTCATTAGTCGAAAAGTTTGTTTGTTATTGTGTTAAGTGTTATTTGTGTGCTCACGTCCAAGTGTCAGGCTCTTTGGCATTCCTCTTCCTTTCCAATTCCTCAGCAAGCATTTTTGCTTTTGCTCGCCATCGTTTATCACTTTCGTTCTCCGTCCCGCCAAAGGATAATATTCGCCTGTCATAGATGACTCACACCTTCCATCTCGCTAAGCCACTGATGACCGCAAAAAGCCGTAGAAAAAATTAGTGAAGCTGCGTGAAAATAAGGAACGTCTAACTTTCCTAATGATCTCTGGGTGACTTTGAAATTTGTGAGATTTATTGTTCTTGGTGGCGGCATATCGAGGATGACGAGAACCTTCAAATTGGCTTCGATTTCCACCATAATTGAAGCAACGGATACAAGATAAATTGTACCATAAGATTTTAAGGTATTTTCAGTTGTAAAACAAGCAATTTGCTAATTCTGAGGACAAATTTCGCTGGTAAAATGTCTTAATTGGCTTTTCCTCTGACTTATTCCACTGAGCCCCTACGAATTGCATCTTACCCTCAAAGTTTTTACCGCGCCCATAAATTGTGCCATAAATTCATTAGCGAAAAATGTTTGAGCAGCGAAAGTGGAAAAAGGGCGCTGAATTTGGGGAGCAAACATAAACAGGAAGCGAAACGCGACGGCCGCAGTATACAACAATTTACAACCTAAATCAAATGCAGTTGAATGACCAACACAGACGCCATAAATCACTTGGCCACTGGGCATCCAGTTGAGACGCCAGACGATGGCTCGAGTTTCCAGCCAATATTTTAGAGAGGAAAACCGAGCAAAATGGTTGGGAAATTGGGACGCGAGGACTCGAAATCCAAACGGAACGGGCAGAGGGAAACCGATTTTGTGAAAAGGGCAAATGCAATATGTTATCAAATAAAAATGTTACAGGCGACGACAGAGAGGATGGCGAACAACGAACAACGAACAACAAGCCCCGAATGGAAAGAAATGTGTTGCACAAATTTATTAGAAACCTTAACTAACGAGCAATATCCTTAGTGGATATCGGGGTGGGCTGCTGCTGCCGGTGTATGGCATGAAATCCAAGTGATGTGTCAAATGTTAAGACATTACAAAGCACTAAAAGGCACAAGGACACAAGGACATGCCCCAGCGGCGGTGGTGGTGTGGGGAGGGGGGAAGGGGTGGGCGAGCTGTCGAGCAACAGGAAAACAAATCGAACGTGTGCCCAATGCCATCAATCTTTTGTTTTTATTGCCAGCCCAAGGTCCCTGTCAAGCGATTCTCGTGAATCCAGGACTCAGCCAGCCAAGAGTGGGAACGAGTGGAAATGAGGGGTGCCAGGACATGTGTGCGACAGTCGGGGGCACAGTCGGGACTTGTGTGCCCGACATTAACTCGACAGGATAACAAATCTGTTAAATGTGACAAACGAGCCGAGTGAGCTGGTGTGCGCCATCGCTGGGGAAAACGACAGAAGGCCAGCGAAGTCAAGTTATGTGGGCGGCAGGAGCAACCTTCACCTACGCCGTCTCCGTGTCCCAAACCATGTCCTGCTGTGATTCCATTGACCTCTTCCCGCTGAGCATCGCCGTAATCCGAACTGATCTCTTTTCTCAAGTTGCAGGAGGCGGTGACCCGAGCGCGACAGGAACTGTCACTGCCTAACGATGATTTCATGGTGGTCAAAGTGCAATAAATTTTTATTGGCACCTATTATTGGGCGACATATAGTATGTAGTATGGTAGAAGATGTTTCGGCCGAGCACCAATGCCAACCGAAAACAGCAGGCAATTTATGGGCAAGTCCTGCTGCAATTCCATTCCTTTCAGCTGCCTCATTGTCCATGCATGTCACACAGGTCCTTTGCGAGGTCCTGGTCCTGACCAAACAATGATGTCCCGCAGCGTTTGAGCTGGCACTCATGACAGTTTTATTAACCTGTTTACGAACTTCGGTGACCCTGATTCCGATGTCATAAACGCTCTAGCCGTGCGATAAAGACGGAAAAATTATGGTTTCCTGGTCAATTGTTTCCATACGCACAGCATATTTACTAAAAACTTAAACCCCTAGATATGCACA